TTTTCCACGTCGTAGGTGACACCACCTTTGGCTTTCAAATCCGTTCTGCTCCTGCTTGTGACAGGCTGTTCAGGATTCACCAAATACTCCGAAATACTCTGAAGTACAAAAAATAAATAGTTAAATGTAGTAGTGTTTAATCACCAGTGATTAAACATCCCACAGAGTGTGGGGGGAGTGTAAGCTTGTAGGAATTGCTTATGTGCAATTTGTAAAATTGCATGCTTGCAGTCTCATGTTGTAGTTTTGGAATTTTTTTAGATATACTCTGGCAAAATAGATCTGTAAAGCCATAATTTCAGAAATAAGCTTGGCTGGAGCTACTGTGAAAAGAAGCAGAAACAGCTGCTTATTCTTTCACTAGTCCTAGCCCAAGCTCACAGAGGATGCATTCTTCGGCTTGGGGAACTATTTAGAATATGTTTTTGATTTGTTTTATCTTTGTACTAGAAAGAAAATACCAGTTTGCTGACACAGTTTACTGTGTGGCCACATAAATGCATATGTCTGCAAAAAAAGAGTGTAGGGAAAAGAGTGCTTCTTAGCAGTAATGCTGACCTAATTTTTTATGAGGCTTGGGTAAAGTCTGTTTAATGTTATGATAAAACCATGAGTGTTAAGTCCAGTAAACAAGACATGTGTGATGTTGGAGAACAACACTATGTAAATGCTTAGGACAGCTGTGCATACCACAGCTGACTTAGTAATTGAAGAAACTTGTATTAGTGATGCCACAAAATGAGCAGCTTAGTTGCTTGGAGAGGCACACCAGAAGCAGTGTGACAGAAGAGGTTAAATGTATTTTCTCCATTTCATGAAAGACTGTGGCAAAAAGGGATGCACACAGAACTTCCAACAGCCAATTCTTGACACACTTTCCTTAGTGTTACTTATTTTCTTCCTTTCCACTATTGCCCTGTGCTGTCCGCTACTCTCTGGCATGAGCTTGGAGGGAATAAAAAAAAATGATTATTCTGACCTGCCACTGTGCAACTCATGTCCTAGATTACTAGTTACCATTAGTAAACTTGTTCAAGTTGCTTATCCAAGATTGTGTAGATGCAGAGACCATTTTAATATCGATTAGAGCAGCTTATGGATTACTATCAGCTCTGTCGTGCTTCTCAGTGTACCACATATATATTTGCTTTTATTTCTCCTTATTCCCTGCTACATCACTCTGCTTGAAACTCCTTGCAGCAAAGGCTTGTTCTGTTAAAGCACTATGCACGTATGATTGTGTACAACAGGAATTGCTGTCCCTACCGGAAGGCTAATTTATGTAAATCAAAGATTGTTTACAGCATCTGCATTTTAGATTAAAGAGAATTAATTTACCTCTAATGTCAAGACGCTGTTTCTGCTCTGGGTAAATGACAGCCATTAAAAATGATGGTTTTCCCAATACTGTTAAAGGCTTTTTGTGAGCTAAAGATTTTGCAATGCATGAAGCTATGACTTGCATGTTTTAACAGTGGTTAGCTATAGTAATTCATAAATGAGTCTGGAAAAATCACGCTCTTGATCTCATTCTTATAACCTCCTCTTCAATCTGTTCTTGAGGATTTGGCTTTTGAAAAACTAAATGCGGTGTTGTTTACAATCCGTATGGGGCTCAGCTGAGTCAAAAGAACTTGAACAAAATTCTAGTTGTAAGCTGGTGAAATAAGTGCTTAGTCTTGCTTGTGTACTTGTACTACAGCTGTGGCACATCTGTTCCGGATGACTACTTGGCAAACCTTTCAGTGCCTTTGTGAATCCAGTGAAGTGCTGAGGCTTTCAGGATGGGTCACAATAGCTTCTCATTTTCAATATGTACTATTCTTATTGATGATCAGGGAACTGTGGGAGGAAACTGCTTTTCTCTTAACTCTATTACTGATGATTATTCCTCATGAAACCCTAGGCGTTGTACTACTTCAAATGTAACTGAACTTATGTGTTTACTACGTGGAGCTGTGGACTGTTGGCATGGAGGGTGGAGGGTACATTTGCAAAGGTGCAATGGCTCAGATACGCACCCTTCCCAGGGGCTGGAAGTGATTGCAATCATGAGGTGTGTGTGTTCTCCTCATCTGAGAGTGATATACTTGCCATAGTTGTAGAAATGTCCTACCTGGGAAATCTGCAGTGTGGTAATAAGTTACTGCCTGGGTTCTCTGTTAAGAACTTGGAGCATTTAGAGCTTTACTTGAAAAAGTAAAGAACTAATATCAAGGCACTGGCTCTGGCTGGTTAACTATGAAGTCAGAAGCTGTATGTTCACCACGTCTTCTCATGCAAGAATCCAGCAACACTTAAAGCATCAATCTTATAAAGCAAATGTTCCAAGTTTAAACCTCCATGTGAGTTTCAAAAGGAGTTAAAGGCTAGTGTTTTAAGAAATATTGTTTGGATCCAAGTTATTTTGAGTGTTATGGGTGCCCTCCTTGAACTGGTGTCTCAGTTTTGGCCTCTACTTGGTCTGGGGCTGCTTCTCATAACACGAATGTTGCATGTGGTGGACTTTCCTGGGTTTGAGTTCCAAAACTAGAGTGTATGTATTAAGTGCAGTTAAGCCATTTCTTGGGTTTGCTCTCTGTGAAATGGCTTAACTCTGGTATTGCAAAACACTATGAAAGTAGGTAAATACAGAGGGGAATTTCATTGCTAAGCAAAACAGGTTAAAAGAATGCACAGTTTTTAGTGGGAGAGTGGCACTGGAGATATGGTTGTGCTTCATGGAGCATTGGTGTGACTTTATTACAAGCTATGGATTTAAAATACATAAATTGTTTAAATAAAATTATAGCCATTGTAATATGAAGACTGGTTGTGTGGGTGGAAGCTTTCTTTCGTATAATCACAGCTTATTGTGCCCATCAGAAGGAGTTCTTGGTCTCTGAAAGGCATCATTATATAATCTATTGGAATGCAAGCATTTGAAACTGAGATTATTAGAGCATCTTGGTACCTCACAAGTTGGATAGTCCTGTGCAAAGCTGTGAAGCCTGAGATTTATTTTTTTTTCTTTAATAACAGGGCTGAAGATATATCTGTAAGAACATCACTTAGATGTTTGTGATGGGATGAAATGGAAGCCCGCAGGCTTATATTGTTTGCTAGTCACCTTGATTGTGTCTAATGTCTGCCTTTGTATTCTTCTAGTATGTAAGCCAACTGTCTTAATGCCTGAAGAATAACAACACAAAAAGTGTTCCTAAAAAGCTGTTTGCTTTCTCAAGTATAGTTGAAATCTTAATTAGCAAAAGGAATGTGACTTACCATATGGTAAGTATCACCTGGTACTGATTCAGAGCTTCACTGAAAGAAGTCCTGTATGCAGCAGCCTTTTTCTCGAGGCATTCTAATGAGCTAAGTAATTCCAATGTATCCTCAGCTGCAGATTGGCTGTCCCTCTTGCTGTTTTGGCTCTCAAACTGGCTGTCCCAGGATCTATCAAGAGATAGTTTCCTATCTCTTCCCTGTTTTTGAAAACCACTTTTAAGTTCTGCCTTCTCATGTATTCCTATGATTGCTTCCTAACCTCAGTTTAACAAGTGTCTGGTGTTTATTAAAAAGATATTCATAGCACAGTGTTGGAATGGTCAGATATGCAGTTACACTGGGACAAATATGCAGTGATAACCAGAGCAGAGCTTTTTGAGCTTAACACTTTGGACTGTAGTACTAGGTGACATAGGACAAACTGTTATCCCTCACATCCTTTTTGCCCCATTGCACAGTGTAGTTAATACTAGATGTAATGATACTGATCTTCTTTATAAAGTAGGTTTTCTAGGAAATAAGCAGAAATAAAAGGAAAGGGAACTTATATTAATTAATTTTTAAAAAATTGCAAGCTTTCTCTTCTGTTTTGGAGGGGGGAAGCAGGTGACCTAGGAAGTACGAAGAACTAGTTTCTGCTCTTCTGTTCACAAATCTTATTAAACTTAGTGAAGTTGCAGCTAAAAGTTTACAAAGTAGTCTGTTACAATGTTTGAATTTGAAAGCATTTGGATTTGAGCTGCTAAAGTTTCATACCACCTTCCCTTGTAGGTACTGCTGTGATTCAGTGCTAAACATTGCTTTCATCTGAAACAGATGGCAGGACAGGATGTTCGCCTGTTGTACACACTGATACATTCTGGCTTATTAGTTTGAACTCTGAAGTTTGGTTTATGCTGAGATGCAAGACTGAACTGGATGAGCCAAAGTGCAGACACATTTGTTCTATTTTGCTGCCTCATTAAAGACACATTAAAGCCTCTGACAGAGGAATCATGCAGATATTTGTAGAAAGAAGCAGCTGCAGATAAACTTGCCAGAGGATGTTGGTTGGAGTGCAATGACATGCAAATGCTTTTGAAAACTTAGTGCTAAATATAGGTCTGAGTACCTGACTTACAGGTTTCGTGAATTCAATTTCATTCTAATTAGAATATCCTTGGCTGTAAAGGTTTCAGTAACTTAAAAGCCATTATATATGATTGAAAATTTCATCAAACTATCATAGTTTTTTGTGTGATGTTTCTAATATGGCAGTTTCAGCTGCCAAAAATGTAAGAAAACGTGCCTATGGTTTTTCTGTGGTATTTACTAGCCATGTTGAATGTAACAATCCTGAAGAAATTTATTTTGTGCTAATATGGAAGTGTTTCCAGGTTTGGGATTCCCAGGTTTTTTTTTTTCTATGGTGAATACTCTAGCATAATGGGATTGTTAAATTAAAAACTTTCTGAAGTTGCTGTTTATTCAAATATGGACAAAACGAAGAATTAAATTGTTTTCTTCTGAGAACCTGATTTAACAGGAAGGCATACAGACTTTAAAGCACAGAATACCACACTGTCGGAGATTAATTTTAGAATTCATTGGACTACATACTTCCAGGGCATTTGGTAAATATGTGGAATGTGCTGCTCGCTTTTTGTCAAATATAGGTTTCAAATACAGATCGTTTGGACTTTGCTGTATATCTGTGTGATAGTGACCTTCAAATGTTAAATATCTCATTTCAGTACGAGGATGTCGTCCTGGGAAGATCGTTCAGATGACAGAAGCAGAAGTTCGGGGCTTGTGCATAAAATCACGAGAAATATTTCTTAGCCAGCCTATTCTCTTGGAGCTAGAGGCACCTCTGAAAATTTGTGGTATGTAAAATTGATATGTGTTTTATGTAGGTGTTTTAATCTAGTTGTGTGCTAGGTGGGTTGGAAGAATACTGAGATGGGCAAGTGAGCATGAGTTGGCATTGGAGTGAGGTCTTCAAAATCCTAAATGTAATTTTCAATTTAGATTGGATTAAGTGAAGAAAAAGCAGCTAGCTGTTGGTAGATTGCTGATGCTCCTGGTACTATTTGAGAGCAAGTTCCCTTGGTGAAAAGGGCTGATTGTACCCTCATCTAGGGTAAATTTTGCAACCTGTCCCTTGCTTGCACAGAGCTGCTACTCTTTAGATCACTATTTCAGAAAGAAGTTAGCTGCTTTTTAAAAAAACACATGCATGTTTTAGTTGCTCACTTCAAAGCATAAGCAAAAGAAAGACCTTGTGAAATGGAACACTTGAAAAACAGAAAGCATTGGTAATCTTTCAACTGAGAAAGTAAAATGCAGACTGTTTAATTAGGCTTAGTTGCCATGTAACAAATTCCTTGAGCTTTACAACAAGTTTTGACAAACATCATTATTACTGTGAAACACGAATAAAACTGAAATGTGTGTGTTCTTTACCTCTCTAAGCCTGTATAAGATGCTAGACTTCTTCCAAAGTACACTGTTGTTAATAGGTATGTGAGCTTGTAAAAAAAATTAACTGAAGTATTGTAAATACTGGATTCTAATCACCCTTCAACTTATTTATTAACAATAGGCATTGTCTTGAAATGCATAAAATTCCTTGAGTTAGGCTTGCTAAAGTGTCATAGTATTCAAGTGGAAGCAGTCTCTGACTTTGTTATTACTTGCATGCTCAAAAGATACATTAGTCTTCCTGGCAGAGCTAATGTAGCAGTGTTTCTTACATTGAGAGGATGTTACCAATTTAAAAAACACCCGACAAAACAGCCAAACCCACAGACAAACCACTAAGGGCAAAGTCATTTTTAAATGACTAATTGCTTGGTAGGGTGGGGAGGAAAAAACCAGACTAGCTTTCCTACTGACATAAAGTTGAAGGTAAATCCAGCTTTATCACACTGTGTTCACTTTAGTCTTTTCAGCGTGGTACAGTCTCATCGTATTCCGAGATAAAGAAAACGCAGCAGCTCAGGTAGATTGAGCATAAGTCAAGGTCTGCAAAGAATAATTAGCCTACTTCAAAGATAGTTTTTTCTCGTTTGCTTAAATTGAGACAGTTGAAAGCACGGTTAGATGAACAGTAATAGGGTGGCTAATGCACAGTTAACTAAGGCATTTGTTATTTTTAAATCTGATTCCAAACACAGTGAAAGCACCAGGAAGTGTCAGGTGCATCTGAATTTAAGATTAGAGCAATTGTCAAAGATGCATTTAGATAAAAGTGAAAGGAAGATGATCACTTTCACCAAAAGCAAAATATGCAGCTGGTACAGCTTTGAACTATTATTTTAGTGTGCTCAGGCAATGCCTGAGGAACCATTATAGGATTGTCTTGTCTTACAGTCAAGTCAGTTCAAAATCAGCTCTTACATCTTGAATGGCTGTTTTATAATGTAAGATGAAAGAAACTCTTATGTAAATGTCCATTTTAAAATAGATGTGGCTTTTACTCTTTAAGGCTTTGTATCTGGTAGACTTCAATTCAACTTGTGCTCATATTAAGCTGTATTTTAAAATGCTGAATACCTTGAATGGAATAGTAAATGCTTTGGTCCCTCTACAAAATTGTTTCTATAAAATGTTCTTTTACCCACTAAGTGCATTGCTTCCTCATGTGTGGGCTCGTATGTAACCGAAAATCGTTCAAGATTATGAGCACAGTAATAATATTTTCTCAGTATGCTTACTTGGTAGGTAATTCTGTTAGTGTTGAAGTCTGGGGAATAAATTGCTAATGTGATTCTGGAGTACTACACTCAACATAGAAATCACTTTTTGGGGAGTCTGTTTTCTTTGGATTGTGACCTGGAGACTTCTAAATATTACTTAAAATAGGAATCATTCTTGTTGCAACATACACAAAAAAGATTGTAGCCAGTGAAACTTCAGGTTGTGTCTGGAGTTGGGTAGTGGATAATAGTCATGTTTATTAGATGAAAATTGGAAGGTTATTCTTCTCCCTGAGTGAGAAATAGTTATGGAAGAATGCTGCCTGAAGAAGGAAATATTGCATTTCTCATGGAAAGTGTAAAGAGGAATGTAATATAACATATATTCTTGCCACTGTATGCTTTAAGAATTGAACTGGAGAGCATACAGGTTTGGGAACCTTTTTTAAGATGGAGAAAGTTGTGTGGGGTTTTTTTTCCTCTTTTGAGGCCATAGTAGCTAGTGCTCTACTAGAGAATAACTGTGCTGAGCAAAGTCAGTATTTTGCCACTGAACAAGCAGCAAAAGTGAAAATGCATTTATGTAATGCTTTGTGTATGGGACCAGGAGGTACTAAGTTTAAATAGCATACAGCTTGCACTGAAGGCTTTTTGCATATCTTTTCTGCATTCAGTCACTCTGGTGATGAGTTCTGTCAGCTGGAGTACAGTGCATGTGTTCTACAAGTTACTGTAGAGCAGCTTTGGTATCTTCAACCGTATGGACAACTCACAGATAGTTGGCTTTGACTAGTATGTGGTGATGTAATTGCTGCACGGAGCTGTTCCATGGAAAACCTACTTAATTTTAAAGCTGGCAGTGTGATGAGTAACATGACAGTTATTTTTCCGAAGAACAACCTGCAGGGTTGAATATCTTGTAAGAAATATCAGTCTTTGAGTCTTTGTATTGTTTTTACGTGAATAATTCCATCAAAGGAGGAGTTAGTCTAAATGCTGGGGGGTAGGAATCTTAGTACAGGGAGCTGACCTTTAAAGTAAGTTCTCTTTGCCAACACAATGTTCAGTTTCTCTCCAGTCTGTTTGAATTCTTGACTGTTCTGTTTTTGCAGTAAATAATGTGACTTTTTCTTAATACATTTGCTTCCTGGTTGTATACCTGTTTAATTAGAGGTTGTCTTTCTGACCTTGTTGTAATTTGAACAAATTAAAGGTTGGTCGGAAAGCTTATGCTTAATTGTTTGAACTTCTGTAGCTTTTAGTTTTCGTATTGGATTCATACCTGACATAGCAGTTCTGCAGATAGTATGAGCTATTTATATTTAGTGAGTACTTCAGTTTTTAATATTAGCATAGTTCTTACTTTTCTGATTAATATTGCCAGTTTTAAAAGGCAATATTAATGCCTTTTTTGAAATCAATGAATAGAAAATAATTGGCTTAAGTTCTTGACTTGTGTAGTCTTTGTTGTTGCACTAATCCTTGGTAAACATTTCTTTATTCAGGTGATATTCATGGTCAGTATACAGACTTACTTCGATTATTTGAATATGGAGGATTCCCACCAGAAGCTAATTATCTTTTCCTTGGAGATTACGTAGACAGAGGCAAACAGTCTCTGGAAACAATTTGCCTATTACTGGCATATAAAATCAAGTATCCAGAAAACTTCTTTCTCCTCAGAGGAAATCACGAGTGTGCTAGCATCAATCGGATCTATGGATTTTATGATGAATGTAAGCAAAACCCATTACTTTTGAAAGATTGTAACAGACTAATATTGTGTTTTGAAGATGTTTCTAGTACTGACTCTCATGCTGCGAGGGTTTCAACATTCTGTGAAGTGCTTTGAAACTTTCTAAAAATACATTTCGAACCAAGGTTAAAGTCACTCAAGAGCATTACTGTTTTGTCTTCTGCTGTCCTTGAAATGCTGTTGTAAGAGATTGAGACTTAACTATGCTAACAGAAATAAAGCCCTGTGAAGACAGTTTGCTAACATTTTTGGTCAGGTTGTGATATGTATTACTGGTTGGCTTGAAAAAACCAGCCTTCTCTTCCTAATGCCACACACTGTTCTCGCAGGCAAGCGGAGGTTTAACATCAAGCTGTGGAAGACCTTCACAGACTGTTTTAACTGTCTGCCTATTGCAGCCATTGTGGATGAGAAGATCTTCTGTTGTCATGGAGGTAAGCTGATGGCTGCTTTTAAAACTGTGTCTACACTGATCCTTGGGTTAATGCTATACCAAATGGGGTGTGGATGAGCATACCTGATATTCAGCTGGAGATGTTTAACCTTGTATTGTCTGTAAAGGTCACTTTTATGCCTTGAGCTTTCCTTTGCACTTGGCAGTAGACAGATGTCATTCTTACCTGATATTCATGGCCCTCTCATGCCTGAGGGAGAAGTGCCTCTGTAAATATTCCCTCAGTGTATCCCTCTCTGAAAAATACTGAATGCTAGAATTATTGCCTAATTTGCCACATGACTTTTTGCTGTTACTATTAGCCTTAGCTATTGTTAGCATCCTTAGCAGTGAGGAATAACTTTCACAAGCAAAGAGAGCTCTATAGTCTTGATGTCTTTAGCTGTTTTCATAACATGTTGGTGGAAGGGACTTCTAAGGTTACACAGTCAAGCCTGGGGCTTCAAGCAAGACATTTGTTAACATTGGAGCAGGTCAGCCATGGCTTGCATGGACTCCAAAAAGCCTTTGTTATTAGAAAATCTACATTCTGTGGGCACCTGTCCCAGTGTTGCTCTGTTCTTGTACTGAAAAAAATGCTTGGTATTGATCTGACTGAGGGTTGTGACTTGTCTGAATCTGGGAACTTACCTGGACTCTCTTCTTTATAGAACGGGCCCCCCATGACTTTACAGGTAATGATGCTTAACAGATTTCCAGGAGCTTGCAGTGTCAAAACAGTTGACAAGAACTTAAAATTACTTGTAATAAGAGCCATCCTGCCTTTTGCAGCTGTCTTTGCAACTGCCTCCCTTAATAAGCAACTTGATGCCTTGCACTGAATGATCTAGAAATGTTTTGGTAGGTGTCACACCTGTGTTGTCAGTGAGATGGAAATTAGTGGAAGTGAAAGCGCTGCAGAAACCTCTAGTTGGAACAGATCCATTTGGAGTTAAGAACTGTGTGATCCAGAACTCCTGAGGAGAATCTTTAAGGTTGTATTGCTGGCTTCCATCCTGCCTTTGTTAGTTGCAAGACCTCTGCCTATGTAGGATGTGCTATTAAGATGATGCAGGGTGTTCTTGCATCTTGTTTTCTTACAGGTCATCTTTTAATCTTGTGTGCTGGTTTAAGAGTTAACCAGCAGGGGTAATGAACCCAACTCAAAGGAGAGATTATAAAGTCAGAATAACAATTTATTAAAATAATACAGTAAGTACAATCATACAAACAAACAATTGGTCTTAACCCACAAAACCCA